ATGTATGTGACGTTTAATTATTATTGATAAAATATTGTTTTATAATAAAAAAAGTATTTGAGCATGTAATATAATATAAATATTTCTGTAATTTTTATTTAAAAATTCTGTAAACTAAAAAAATATTTTGAAAAAATTAATAATAGACATTTTGTTTAAATTTAATTTTAACAAAAAAATAAAGAAAATAAAATAAAATAATATATAAACAATAAAATTAAAATATTAATATATTTTTAAAAAATTTATAATAAAAAATATATAAAAATATATATAAATGAAATTAGCATAATTTAAATAATATATTTCTTTTATTTTTACATTATAAAATATATCATTAAAAAAGATTTCGATTGGATCGAACTTTAAAATAGTAAAAAAAACTAAAGATAATCTAAAACATATGCGCCATAGAAATTTTCAATAGAAATATTTTAAAAAAATGTTTATATTTATTAAATATAAACCATGTTTTTCAATATAAAAATAAATAAAATTACAATACAAATAAATATCTGATAAGGATATTTTATATGATAGAGAAATTATAATAATTCCAAAAGGATTAAGATATAAATTAATTAAAATAATATTGAAATTATTTTTAATAAATGATTAAATATAAAAAAAAAAATTGAAATAATAGAATTAATATTAAATTAAAATTTTTAAATATATAAATAAAAAAAAATATATAAATTGTTAAATTTAATATTAATAAAAAACTATTTGTATGTAAAATAGAAAAAATATATATTTATTAATATTAAAAAAAAAAATATTAATAGGATAAAAATTCTTTTACTTAATTTATAAGGATAATTAAAAAAAAAAAAATTAATATGATGAAAAATAAAAGAATCGTGGAATCGTGTAGAAAAAAAAAATTAATATAAATAAATGTATAAAATAAAAAAATATGGAAAAATATATAAAAATATATAATTTTTGTTTAAAAAAATAAAAATATTTAAAAAAAAATGTATAAAAAATTGAAAAAAAGTATTAAAGAATATATATTAATTAAAATATATTTATAATTCGAATGAAAATAAATATATAAATAATTAATATAAATTGATATAAAAATAAAAATTAATTTATAAAAAAATATTTATAAAAATAATTAAAATTATATATATATATAAATAATATATATATTATATTTATTTATTTATATAGATATATATTTATATATTTATAAATAAATTTATATATAAATTTATTAAAAATATACAATTATTTTGTACAAATATATTTAATTTTATATAATTAATTTTTTTTTTTTTATTATTTAAATACATTTATATAAAATTTATTTATTTTTATTCTTAAAATATGTATAAACATCTAATTTAAGTTTTTTTTATATATTTAATTTAATTTTTTTTTTATATTATTATTTTATTTTTTAAAAAACAAAGATATTCTTAAAATATTTTTTCTAAAATTAATATTAATTTGATTTCAGGTAATTTTTTAATTTAAAATTAATATTTTTAATAAAAATTAAATTCATATAAAATTAAATTTATTTTTCAAAAATATTTTATCAATTTTTTGTTTAAAATTAATTATTTTTAAACAACTAAGTTAAATATTCTATTAAGTTAAAAATACTATATTTTATTAACAATATACTTATTTTATATTTAATTTTAAATATAATAAATTAATAAATCTAATATTATTTTTTTAACAGCTTTTTTCTTAGCCTAAAATATATATAAACATACCTCATCTTTCATTTATTGAAGAACAAAGAACCATATTTATATTTACTTTACCTGATATATAAATATATTAGGATTACATAGTCAATTCTATAAGATTTTTCATTTTTTTTATGTATTTTTATAATAAAATTAATATTAAAATTATAACTAAAAGAAAAATACTACTTCATATATTTATTAGTATGACGTATATTATTATAAGGAGAAATTATTATGATACCATAAATATAAAAATACAAAATTCTTTCATTAAAATTAAAAATTCTTTTTAAATTAAAATTTTAATCATTAAAATATATAGGTTTTTAGTTAGTAAGATTTAATGAATTTTTAATTAAACGTTAAGATTTGACTCAAATACATTATTATATAGAAATGGCTATATTTTTAATCGAAGAAATTAACATTTTGAATAAAAATTTAAACTTAAAAACCCGAAAATTCTTAAATTTAATAAAGTGTAAGAATATCGTGAGCTCAATTGTTATTGAAATTGCTTTAAAATACTAAAATAAAGAATATTATTAATGAAAAATATATATTTAAATTGAATTTAATGATATATTATTAGAAAATGATTTGGATTAAGATTGATATATATAAAAATTAATAATATATTTGTACAGAGTCCTCCCAATTTTCAATTTTTACGTGCTTTTAATATTTATTAACTTTAATATAAAGGCGGGCTTTTATTTTATTTTATTTTTTCAAAAAAAAAAAAAAAAAAAAAAAAAATCAATAAATGTATAATCTACTTATAGTTTAAAATAAATTATTTGTATTTTTAAATATTATTCATTTATTAATTTTTTAAATATAAAAATAGAATTTAATAATAAAGCTAGATAATATATTATAATTAAAAAGAAAAAAAAGTAAGAATAAATAATATATAATTAAATTTTTTTTTTTAAAAAGAAAAATATTTAGATTTAAATTAAACTCAAAGTAAATATTTGTCATGTTTATTTACTAAATTAATAAATTAATATATATATATATATATATATATATATATATATATATATATATATATTTATATATAAAAAAAAAATTAAAAACTAGAACAAATACAATAAATATTATAATAAAAAAAAAACAAGCTTAAAATGAAAAATAAAAATACTAAAAATATTTCTGTTTGATAAATAATAAAATGTAAATAAAAAAGTCAATAATTTTCTTCATTTTCGATATAAAATTATATTTGTTTTTCGAAACTTAAAGGATTAAAAATATACCCATCAGCTTTATAAAACTTGTTTTAAAATTCAACCCAATGTAATCTAAGTGCATGTAAAAAGCATTCCATGACATCCATAGCCATTAATACACCTAAAGTAATAATAGCAAATACAAAATAAGCTGGAACAAGCTTTTTTTACAGAAAAGTAATATATATATATATATATATATATATATATATATATATATATATATATATATATAAATATTTTTTTTTTTATAAATTTTTTTATTTTTTTTTATATTTTTTATTTTTTTTTATAAATTTTATTTATTTATTTTCATATGTTTTTTTTATATATTTTTTTATATATTTTTTATAAATTTTTTTATAAATTTTTTTTATATTTTTTTTTTATAATTTTTTTTTATGTATTTTTTTATATATAAATTTTTTATATATTTTTTTTATATTTTTTTTTATATTTTTTTTTATATTTTTTTTATATTTTTTTTTGTATTTTTTTATGTATTTTTTTATGTATTTTTTATATTTTTTTTTTATATTTTTTTTATATATTTTTATATAATTTTTTATATATATATGTTTTTTTTTATTTAAATGTTTTTTATATATATATTTGTTTTTTTATAAATTACAGCATAAATATTTCCTGATTCAAGGAAGCCTTATATACTTTTTTAGAAAAAAACATTTGCTAATTAAGAATGTGCGAGTGAAAGTGCCCAAAGACGTAAATATGAGGCTGTATTTGAAATAGAACCGAGTACAAATTCAATAGTTTCTATAATTTAATGTACGAATATTTCAGAAAATTCTTCATTATGATGTTATTTATTATCCATTTTTTCCTTTTGTGTATTTTCAAGATCTTTTACTAATTCAATGTCTTTAATTAAAGGTTATTAAGCTGAATTTTCAAATGAATTATTATTACTTACATTTTATTATTGTTTTCTCTTATTTTGAATATTCAATATTATAGGTTTTGGAAATAACATTAAAGGTACACATAATAAAGCGACAACTTTTTAATATTTTAATAAAAATAATAAAATATTTGTTTATTTATTACCTAAAGCTATTAATTAAAATGTTTCTTAGGCTGATTTTCCTTATCCTTTATCAAAAATAGCACCGTTTTTTTCTTTTACACCTCCTAAAGATAATGCCATATCTATAAGTGTAGTAATAATACTCGGCATTCTTTAATCTTCTATTTTTTTTCCGCTATTAACAACTGAATGATCTATATTCCATTTCGCGAAAATCAAATAATCCATATACCCAAACATAATACCCATAAACCCGATTTAAGGCAAAAATTCGAAGAAAAAATCTAGCCATTTTTTAAAGTAAATAGAGTTAAAAGCCTTCATAGTAATACCTAACATCATCTAAGATACCCCTAAAATGACTGCAAGCTTCATTTTAAATGAATTAGCCATAGTGAGATCATTTTCCGCTTTTCCCCATATCGGATCTAGTCCAAATATATAAGTACAATCTTTATTTATTTTCTCATATTCCCCCCACTAATTAGGACTATTCCTAAAACAAGAATTGAAAAGGTTCAATCGCAATGAAAGGAAGTCATTATAAATCAAACCGCAATAAAAAGCGAAGAAACCCATCAAAAGTACTAAATATCTGATTTATAAAGCACCTCTAAAGGAACTTTTTGGGTCCTTTAAGATTGAGTCATTAAAAATAACCAAATAAAGACCAAAAAGAAAGAGTAAAAAACCATGTCCGATATCACCAAACATCACTCCGAAAAGAAAAGGGAAAGAAATTAATGTAAAAAGACCAGGATTTACCTCCTAATATCTCGGGATTCCATATGTATTGACAATTTGTTAAAAGGCGGAAGTAAATTCATTCAGTTTAAAAAAAGTCGGAGGAGTTTGATCTTCTGAAAACGGAATTTCTTGTAGTGTAGATTTAGGTATATTAAAGTTTCTCAATTAAGAATAATCACCTTTTAAGGTCTCTTAAGCTTTTTCCAAGTAAATCACTAGGAATCCAACAAAAACCAACCAAAACAGCACCAGATTGCTTCAGATTGTTCATACAGCAGTATATATTTTTTTCTTTAGTTGTATATAGCTTTAAGAACTCGATATACGAACACCCTGCGTTATATTTCTCGTCTGTATAAATGCTTAGAAACCTAATTATGTTATTACTTGTCAAACAAAGAACCTATTAACTCTCTCTAATAGCTGAATCAAGCTCTAATAGGCGCTAGTTATAGAGATTTTAAGTCTCAGGGAAATTATATTTACTAGCAGAAAAGCATCGCACATTCTATTCACTTTAGAGTGTATAATACCACCTTATTATCCCTAAAATACAATGAAAAAAACTGTTCTTTTCTTTTATTATTTTTATAATTATTATTGTTTATTATTGATTCCTTTTAGAGATTATTCTGTATCTAAATCAGACATTTTCATTAATATATTACCCCTAGTAAGTCTAAATAGCATCTTTGAAAATCTTACTTAGTCATCAGAATTGATAACTCCGCAAATTTTATTTAATAATCCACCCTTTATTTAATCATTGGTAAATTATTATTGATTTTAGTTATCTAGATATCTATCAGAAGATTCGAAAAAACTATCACCTATTAATTCTATAGCTTTTAGAAGAACTAAATGATTTTCTTTTAAATATTTCTATTTCTCATATATATTATCTAAATTAGATATTTAATCATTTAATAAACTAAAATATAAATTATATTTTAAAGTGATATATATATATATAATAATAATTTATATATATATATATTTATTTATATATATTTTATTTTATATATATAAAAAAGTAAAATATCTAATCTATATTACTTATTATTTTAAAAAGTCTCAGATTCTAAATTTTCGAAAAAGGTATGACCTGCTCTATTCTATTATTATACAGCATTTTTAAAAGCATTGTTTATTATATTTTATATATCAGTAGGCTTTTTTATAATCCCTTGAAATCTTATTATCTAGTTCTAGATATTTTATAAAGAAAATAATACCTCATCACATCTTTTTACGTAATTAAAATAAGGACGGTGCATTGCAGATACTTCTGGTTCCTAATCTATTTAATGAAGAGCATTTATTTTACCCAGCTCATTTATAGTCTCCCAAGCACTTTCGGAAGGAACAACTAAGCGACAATATTTCATATCTTCTGAACGAAAAATACTCATAGTTTATTTTTTTAATTTTTTTATAAAATTTATTATAATATTTATTTATTTCTTAATTTTTTTATTTGTATATATAGATACATTTATAAACATATAAAAAAAAATATATATATATTTTTTATTTTTATTTTTTTTTAATTTATATTTAAAATATTTATAATATTTAAAAATAATTATTTATAAAATAAATATTCATATAATCATATATTTATATATTCATATATTGACAAATTCATATAAATATATAAATATATATTTTATTTTTTCTTTTATAAATATAATTATATAATAAATAAAGCATAGCATCTTTTATTTTATTTATAATTTAAAATTTATATTTATGTTAATTAAAATAATTATTAAATATATAAAAAAAGTTTATAAACTTTAAATTATTTAAATAATGTTTTATATAATTAAAATAATAAATTTTTTATAAATAAGCCAGAATTTTTCTATCAAATTATTCTTTAAAAAAATTAATATTTTTTATTTTCATTTTTTTCTAATAAAATAAAAACAATAAAAAAAAAAATTAATAAAATAATTTTTAATTAATAAAAAAAAAAAAAAAAATGGAAACATATAGTGATAAATATATCGTAAAAAAAAAAATTTATAAAATAAATAAAAAAAAAAAAAAAAGATTTAATATCATTAAACATATAAAACAGAAGATAATTATACAACAAAAAAACCGAAAACAGCAGATTTAATTTTAATATAAAGTTATTTTTTTAATTTATCTTAAAATCAATTACTAAAACCAAGATAAGACGAAGAAATATCTTCAGACATTGAGCCTTTACATTAAAATCCTCAATAAAAAATATATATAAAACCAACAAATTTTTAATAATTAAAATATAAAAATGATTTTTTTATTTATGAAAAGTATTTATATATAATTTTAGATATAAATATATATTTGTTTTTAGTACTATTGAAAATATTTAAATATATGACCCATATAAAGAAATGAAAATATAAAAACCAAATACAATTGAAAACTTATAAATTTATGATCCATATATAGAATATTTTTAAATTGTTAAAAATATGAAATTGACATTTAATATTATATAAGATTTATCTTATTAAATATCTACAAAAAATACAGTTAAAAAAAATTAATATATATATATTGTATTAAATGATAAAAAAAAAGGAGCTTTCATTAAATGATATAGATTTTAATATAGATGAATGCACAGTAGAAAAGATTGTATAATAATTAACTTAATAAACTAAATAAGAAAGGTATAATATACATATATGTATGTATATATATATATTCACAAAAATTAGAAAAAATAAGAATAACTTTTATATTTTAAATATACATAAGACACATAAAATCATAATTATTATAAAATTAACAAACAATGGTTATAATCTTATGTCAAATATCTGAATGATTCTTCAATTTTTTTTTCAATTAAAAGATAAATAATACTCAGAATTAAGATTTTATATTAATAAATTCTAAATTAGCTTAAATTTATCTTTTTTTGTACGGAAACAATGCAGAAATAAATATTCAAGATTTATAAAATGCCTAAAATAAGTCTTTTAATGGATATAATCAAATAATAGAGCCTAAAGGGCTCTTTAACTAGTCAAATTATTGTTATTTAAACTCCGTTTTTTAATGTTTATTTAGTATAAAAGAACTTAATAGGTATTTCCTAGAATAAAATTTCACCGAAAACAAATAAAAATGTATAGAATATTAAAAAGCTTTAAAAAAATATATAAAAACATCATAACAATAAATATGTGACTTAAACAATATAAAAAAGTCTATATAAAATGCCTTTTATTAACATAAATAATAAGATGCTTAGGAATTTTTAAGATATGTAATATTATATATATATATATATATATATATATATATATATATATATATATATATTATTATATATTTATTTAGTTATTAGGTGAAATATAAGATGAATTAAATCCTAAAAGATAAAAAATTGAAAAAATAATTTAATTTAAGAACTCCTATGAAGCTTTAGAATATTATTAATAATATTAAAATAGTATAATAGATTAAATATTTAGTGGATAATTAATAAATAAGGTAATTTGTGGATATTGTGGTGGTTTTTCATGGAGTTATGACCCTTTTTTAGACTTATCTTTAAGTTTAGATACAAAAAATAAGTCTGTATATGATTGTTTAAAGGAGTTTTTCAAACTGGAAGTCTTGGGTAAAGATGAGTATTTTTGTGAGAAATGTGAGAAGAAAAATCAAGGCATAAAATAAATTTTTATAGGAAAATTGCCTTTTTGTTTAGTTTTACATTTAAAGAGATTCAAAATTTTTCCTAAAAAATAAAAAATAAATGATTTAGTTAAATTTTAAATTAATGGATTAAATTTAAATGAATTTTTTTTATAAAAAAATAATAATAATTAATCTTAATATTATTAATTAAACGCAGTAATTGTACATATAGGAAATTAAAATTAAGGGCATTATATATCTTATATATAAAGAAATAATAAAGTAACATAAATATATATATATATATATATATAATTATTTAATTTATGTATAGTGGTATTGTTGTAATGATAGTAAAATAGAATAGGTTAATATAAGCAAAGTCTTAAGTTTATAAGTATATTTACTTTTTTATTCATAATAATAACAATAATAAGTAGATGAATGAGAGAAGCGAAATAAATATAATTTATTTTTTGTATAAATATTAAAATATATATTAATAAAATAAAATATATATATATATATATATATATATATATATATATATATATATATATATATATATTCACTCTAATGCATCGTTTAATTCAGTTAGACATTATTAAATTTTTTAGTCTTAAAATTATATTAGTTTTCCGGCGAAATCTACTTTTTATAAAACTTATTTACTAACGTTTTCATATTTAATAACGAAATTTCCAAAACTAATTAAAATCCTAAGAATATTATCGGGATTATTTTCAGTTTAGAAAACTTAGATTAATTCTTCTAAAAAGGCTAAAATATTCTCGTTTTTATAATTTTAATTAAACACGATTTCCGCCGAAACATTATAAAAAAAACAAACAAGGCAATTTCTCAAATTTTAATTTTATGAATTCCTTAAATACTTTATTCCTTCAATTAAAAATCTACAATGTTAAAACATCCCATATTTCCCGTTAGTCTATGAAAATAAATTACATAAAGTCTTCATAATCAAACCCTTTCCAATTTCATTTAAACTACCCAATCCGCCTATTAAAATCGTAAAATAATTTAAACCACTATCTACACCTGTAAATAGTGAGTCTGATTATGGATGTAGAGCAAAAATACGGAATAAATCTAATACAGGAAGTATATGTTCTTAAGGCCATTTTAATAATTTTAAAGTAAAAACTTCTAATTGAGGCTAAGAAAGCTTAGAATTATGATACATATTAGTCTTTTATAACATATCTAACATAAAGTTTAAAGAGAAAAGCTGTTTATCGTTTAAATAATGGTCTGTATCCTTTAAAATCAAGTTTATTTCGTTAAATTTTTTCTTCATTCCTTCTATATTCATTTGTTCGTAATAATTTAAATTTGAAACTGTAAAATATGTATATGTTTTATCTTTTTTTTAAACTTATTAGTTTTAGTAGTTTTAGTGTTGTTGTGATTATTATCCTTATTATTATTATTGATTCTACGTACAATTAGAATTAGCTATTAAAAATTTTCTAATTTATTCAACATTTCCCTTACTAATTTATTCCCTAACGCAATATTTTTCTGCGATTTCTAAAGGATTATCATTATTATTAAAAGGCAACTTTTTTTAAAATCCACTATCATCTTCTACCTAGAAAATATAATCGTAATTTCCTTTAGGAAAAACGCTATCTCCTTCATAAAGTTTTTTCTAAAAAGATCCATTTTATTAGTTTAAAACTTCCCCTATTTTTTCCCATATTCCTTTCTCCAAATCCCATTAAAAAGCCTCGGCGACATCTCCATTTCTAAAAAGTTTAATTTCCCCTTTTTTTTTCCCTTAAAAACTCTCTTTTTCCTCTACTTTTGGCAGTTTAGATATTTCATCGTTTGAAACGCCTTTCTAAACTGCTGCTTTTTTCTCGAAATCTTCAATTTCTTCCCTCCCGGCTGTCCTTTCTGCGTCATCTTTTACAAAAACTCTCACATTACCATCTGAACAGGCACTAATAATATCCATATTATATCTATTTATACATATATTCCATACTGTACCTGGATGTTTTAAACCTTATATACAAGTTTCTCCTTTCCAAATATTCATTAAGGCATCTTCTCCTCCCGAAACATAGTTTCCGAATGAAAAGCATACACAACTAAATACAAAGCCACTATGTCCTTCTAAAACGTTAACCTAATCTCCTTCTAAACTCCAAACTTTGAGCGTCATATCATTTGAGCAGCTCAATAAAAGTCCACTTTCTTCAATATATTGAATTTCCCTAATAATATCTTTATGAGCCTTAATTTTCCTGATTTCTTTAAAGCTAGAAAACTACCAGAAATGCATGATTCCGTCCTAAGAGCCAGTAATAATTAAATCTTAACTATTAATTCCCAAAACACATACAGCATAAGAATGACCTTCCAGTTTTTTTATTTCTTTTCCTTCCTGAAAATTCCATATGCGACTGCTTGCATCCCAACTTCCACTAATTAATGTATTATCATTATATTGGCATAAACTATTTACCTTAAATATATATTTATATTACTTATAAACGTGTTATTTTATAATTTTTCTGGCATTTTGGTTAAAAAAAAACAATCAAACAATAAAATAGGAAGATAATTAACTTTCCTTTTATTATAAATAAAATTAATTTTTTTATAAAAAAATAAGGAAAAAACAAAAAATAATAAAATTATATTTATATATATATATAAATATATATATATATATATATATATATATATATATATATATATATATATATATATAATACTGGTCCTTCATGTCCATTTAATACTTATATTGGGTTTCCACTTAAATCTAATATATATATATTTTTATCTTTACTTCCAATAATAAAACCTATATTTATATTATTTTAATTATATACATATTTTAGAATACCATTTCCATTTTGTAAGACTTTAACTGAGTATATATAATCGTCGAAAAAGTTAGCTTCATATAATAATTCGTATTTCTTTAATTCTTATACAAATTAGAATATTTTTACAGTTTTATCTGTAGATCCACTTATAAGGAAGTTTTTTTCTATATGGACACATCTAACACCTTATGTATGACAAGCAAATTATTGAGAAAGTTAATATTAATGTAATTATTCTATATCCATATTTTTTTTTACTTTAAAGATATTTATTTTAAAGATATATATATATATATATATATATATATATATATATATATATATATATTTATATATACATTAAAAAATATAAGATCAGATTATTTATATATTTTTATTTTTAATTATTATAAATAAAAAAAAAAAAACGTTCAATCATATATATATTTATATATATATATATATATATTTTAATAAAATGTCACGTAGAAATAAAATATATATTCCTTTTTTTTTTTAAGAAGAAACTAAATTATCTCCTCATTATCATTTTGATTTATAAAAATCAATACATACATTAAGTCCTATATAAAAAAAAAAAATCAATATACCTGAAAATCCTAATATTTCAGCTATTGACGCTATTTCTGAAAAAAATATTTCAGAAATTAATCGCGATGAAGAAGAAATGTCCGATGACGAATATTTAATAATGAAAAATCGTGTTTAAAAAAAAGATAAAAGGAAGGGTATATACGAACAATATTAAATAAAGGAAACAATTGAAAAAATATAAGACCTTAACCTAAAAAGTACACTAAAAATATACGACTAATAAGCTGAAATAGACAAAAAATTATAAAAAAGAAAAAGCAAATATGCTCATCATATGGTACCTATAAAATCTACTAAAAAAAGCGTGTTTTTTAATAAAAAAGAAAGTTCAAGTCCTAAAATGAATACTTCTAAATAAAAAATTGAAGATAAAGTTGAACTTTAAATAGATTATTTAAAATAAGAAAAAAAATAAAGAAAAGTACATTTTATACAAAATTTATAGAAAACTACATTTTAAAGTTTACAAATAAATACATTTGATATACCAATATATGAAAATAAAAATATAGATAAATTATAACTAATATAAGAATTTTAATAATGGAAAAAATATATATGTAGATTTCTAAGATTTGATAATAAAAATAATGAAAACAGTTTTAATGTATTTTTATCAACAGGAGAAAAAATAAAACATTTTAATCAAATTAAATAAAGCGATAATATATTATTTATATAAGGTATTAATATATTATATAAAAATAAATAAATATATTTATTTATATATTAATATATATATATATATTTTTTAAATAAATATTTTTATATATTTTTTTAATATATATATATATATATATTTATTTTCATAAATTTTATTTATCTTTGTACATTTATCTTATATAAATTTATATAAATATATATATTTTTAGATATTTCTATAGAAAATTTATAATTTTGGAAAGATTTTTAAAAATTCAATTAAGTTAAAATTAATTATTATGATTTAATAAAATTTTGTAAATACATTAATAATTTAAAAGATAAATAAAATATTTATGAAATATTAATAAATCCTAAAAAAAATAATTTTATTTTTTAAAAATTATAATTTAATAAATAAAATCTTCCTAAATTAAAATTAAGTAATAATATTATTAATATTAATAATAATAATAATAATAATAATAATAATAATAATAATTCCTAAAATTAATATTTAAATTTTGAATAAGTAAATAATAGTAAAATAAATTTAGTTAATCTTTATTAAAAATATAAAAATATTCTTTATTCAAGTATTACTTCTCCTAATCAACTTTAAAATTAATTTTCTTAAGGAAGACTTTTAAAATAATATAATGATGTTAAAATGTAAATTTATTAAAAAAGTCTTCCTCTTCTATTTTAATAAAAATAATGAAATTTTATAAGTATGATTTTTTTTTTATTTTTTTTTAAATAATTTTATTAATATAAAAAAATTAAGATAATTTAATTTTATAAATACATATATAACTTTTTTATATATATATATACTTATATTAATATTTTATTAAAATAATTATAATATTTATAATTTATATTTTTTATTTCATTAATTTGATTATTAAGATTAAGAAATAGTTTATTATGTTTATTATTCTTCTTGTTTTGCATTTTTTTTAGTTTTTTTCTTTTTACCTTATTATTTATCATTTTTATTATTTTATACTTATTATTATTATTATTATACTTACTATTATACTTGCAGTTATACTGATTAAGTTTATTATTTTTTACCTTTTTTAGGAGAAATATTAGTATTTGTATTATTTTATATATTACTAGTCGAATTTTCATTTATATTTTAATTATTAATATTACTTGAATCTTTTTTATTTTTTTTATTATTATTTATATGTCCATTATTATTTTATCCATTTAAATTAATTTACTATTATTATATAATTTAACTATTTTTTATATTATTTTAATTATTATTTATTTATTATTAAGTATTTTATAATTAATATTAAACCTATTATTATTAAGTATTTGGTGATTATCTTTACTGTGTATAAAATTATTATTATTAACCTTAACCTTAAAATTATTAATATTTTTTATCACTTTATTAAAAAGTAGACTATTATTACTATTATATTTACTATTACAATTACTATTATTATTACTATTACTATTATTATAATTATTACTATTATTATTACTATTAATATTACTATTGCTATTATTATTACTATGACTATTACTATTATTATTACTATGACTATTACTATTATTATTACTATGACTATTATTATTACAATTATTATTACTATTGCTATTACTGTTACTATGACTATTACTATAATTATTACAATTACTATGGCTATGATTATGATTACGATTATGACTATGACTATGACAATTACTATTACTATTACTATTACTATTAATATATTTTTGATTATTATATTTATTATTACAATTACAAATTAGCATTATTTCCACTCATATAGTTATTTTAGATTTAAATTTATTACTAGTTAAATCCTTATTATTACTATGAAACCTGCCTTTAAACAGGTATGCTTCCTTATTATTGCAATATAGGGAGTCCTTAAGGTCTCATTTATTATATTGGTTGTTAATTTCTATTAAATATAGGTTCTTATATTCCTTATTAAGCCATTTATTATTTATAATATTATAAAATAACCATTAATTAATTATTAAGTTCTACTACAATTTTTTTATTTTTTAACATTTATGGGCTTGTATTTTTTTCGTTATTTAAAATTTTAACATCTTCAGGTTTAACCATTTTACAATACTACGAATAATCAATAATTTTGCTACATTTTTCTTCTTCTTTTTGCTTAAAGTTCTCTTTTATATTTGCTACTTTGGCTCCCAATATGAAATCAAGAATGCTCTTTTTATGTTCATATATACTACCTACATCATTGAGTTTATTTTGTGAAAAATACTACTAGAAGCACCTATTCATATTTTTTTGAATTTAATTCGTATTTTTTTTCTTCCTATTTTATCTTTTTTTTACTTATTTTTCTAAATCATCTTGGTCATTAATTAATAAACTTAAAGAATTATTTTAAATTTCTTCCTCTTTTTCTTCCTCTTCTTTTTCTAAATAAAACTACTAGTTTAGAATCGAGTCTTCCCCTTTTAAATTATACATAGTAGGCAATATAGTTTCATAAAAATATAAAATCTTCTCTTTTTTCTTTATTTTTAAATTCCATATTAATTTCTCGACAATTTTATCATTAAAAGCATAGTCTTAAATATATAAATATATATATATATATATATATATATATATATATATATATTTATATATTTAATTAAGTATACATTTAGTTATAGGATTTGCATTTAAAGAATTCGCAATGAGGTTAGTTTTAGATCCCCATATAGATTAATAATATTCATAAAAGAAGAAATAAATAGCCTGCCGTGATATTTATTTTAAACTTTCATATTTAATAAGATCATGTAAAACAGGCTCTTCTATAATTCTTGCATTAAATTAATTATTTTAATTAACATCGAATTAATTATATAGAACATAAATGGTATTATCGTTTTTTAAAAAAGCATAACTTTTAAATAATTCTTCAATAGAAAGTACTTATTTTTCATTTTATATTTAAACATTAGTTATTTTAGCTAACTAATCAGGACTAAAACACAATTTTCTATATATAGATATATATTATTTATATATCAATGATTTTTTTATTTTATTTACAAATTCCTTTAAACTTTCCTCATAAATTTGTCAACATCAGCTACATGAGTATAACAAAAAGTATCAAAAATTAAGTCATAAGCATCTTAGCCTTTAAACTCGATTTCTTCATCATTTAAGTTTTATAATTTGGGTATTTATTCATAACTTTTAGGAAATTCATTATAATTTTAAATCTTTTTTTTTTTTTTATTATTATTAAAAAAAAATAATATAGAATATTAAAAAATATATATAAAAAAAAATACAGTTTTTTCAAACATTTTAACAAATTCAGTATTATCAAATAGTGATTTTTTATCATAATAAAAACTTGAAAGTTCATTGATATTATCATATTTCATTTTTTTGGGGTCTGTTTAAGGATTTAATGTTCTAACATGATTAATAAACTCTTCATTAAGAGTATCTTTTAAATTGTCATCTTTTTTTTTTCTCTTTTTATTAATTTCTATTTGCATAATATTACATTTAGACTAATCATAAATTAAGTATTCTTTTTAGATTTTTATGTTATCTTCATTTTAATATTATTATTATTATTATTATTATTATTATTATTATTATTATTTTCCATATTTTTTTATGGATATATACTTAAAAAAAGATTATCTATATTGTTTCTTTCTTTTCTTTTCCCACCAAATTTAATTATAATATCCTATATTTTATTATATATATATATATATATATATATATATATATATATATATATATATTATATTTAACTTTTAATTTATTTAATAAATCGTATTTTCTTTCATTGTCTCTATATATATTTTATAGAGCGTTCTAATTATTTTCTTAATTTAAAGAATTAAACTTCTTTATATATTTTTATATTTCTTTTTTTCTTTTTCTTAATCTTCATTTTCTATTTACATCTGTTATTCACCATTTTATTCTATATTTTCGTTATTTATATCAATTTTTTATACATCCTGATTTTCATTTATACTCTTAAAGATTATTTAGACATCCTAACATATTTAAATACCTATCAATTTATGAAAAAAGCTTAATTCATCTTAAATAAGGAACTTTTTATTCATTTATTTCTTCATTTTTTTTGCTAAATAAAAAGCCCTTGCCATTTTACTTTTTTTCTCTTCTTTAAAATCAATAGACCTCCAATACACTTCCTTTAAAACCTTATCCCATTAATTACTTTATATAAATAGAGGTTTATTAGTATTCTATTTAATATTAATAGATGAAGCATAATAAGTCCTTTAATTCTATAAACTATCAATAATCATTAATTTTCTCATATATAAGTCTATTAAACGATTACAGTCATTTTCTTGTTTTTCCTATAAATATATAATATACATATATTTACATTTATGTATTTATATATATTTATTATTTACAATTTAATCTGTGCTTTATTATTAGATTGAATGCTGTATTATTCCTATTTTTTATAGAAAAAATGACATATATATATAATAGTATTTATGCGTTTTTTTAAAAAAAAAATGGATAAAATATTTTCGGAATTTTTATTATTTTTTTTCCTTCTTAAATATATGATTTTCAGGATGTTTTTTATTTATATATATAAGTATATATAATTTTTTAGTATTTTAAAGTTATTTAAGAATTTATTACCATAACCGCGTTCTTGTATTTAGTTTTATTGATATAATCGATTTTAGTTGATCATATTTAAGATTTTTTCTTTTATTTTTATTTTTATTTTATTTTTTCAATTTTTATTAATTATTTTTTTATTTTAATATAAATATTTGTTTTTTTTTTTATTTATTTTATTTTTTTATATATATGTATATATTTAATTATTCAATTTTTTATTTTTTTTTTGAAAATAATTTATTATAAATTTATCGAATTATTATATTTCATTTTTTTTTTTTTTTTAAAAAAAAAAAAAAAAAAAAGTTAATATTTTTTTTTTATATATATAAATCTTTCTTTTAAATATAATTTATCAAAAAAAAAATATTTCAATTTTTCTTAATTATTATTTTACTTTAGAATATTTCTTAATTTCAATTTAGAATTCTTTATAACAACTATAATTAAATAAAATAAAAAATAAAAAAACTATTAAATGCATTTGTAATAAATATTTATAATATAAATATAACAATGCTTCATATTTTTAATTTAAATACTTTATAAAAAAATTCTTTTAATATATAAAATTACAAATTCTAATATCTTTTGAAATTATAATTCATGAATATATTTTTAAAAAACTAACAATCATATATTTAATTTATTTAAATTTAAATAAAAAAACATATAATCATATATTTAATTAAAAAAACATATAATCATATTATTAATATCTAAATTTAATTTAAAAATAATTAAAATAAAAAATTCTCAAACAGAGAATTGAACCCTAGTCTACAATAATAAATAGTTTCAATTTAACTAATTGATTATAAAAATTGAATATAAAAAAATTAATTTTAAATAGGTTAATGAAGAAGATATAAAAATAAAAATAATAAGATAATATTTTATATTAAATAAGATAATAAAAATATTTATAAATAAACACTACATATTAATTAATTAAAAAAAGTAAAAAATTATAATAGATATACTTATTTTAAATTTATATTATATGTTAAAAAATATATATATAATTATAGAAATATATATATATATAATAAATATATATATATATATATATATATATATATATATATATATATGTATTTCATTTTTAAACAGTTTATACATCAAAATTTTATAAAAAGCTTATAATATCTTTAATTTTATTATATTTATCGTATGATTTTTAATTGTTTTTAATTAAATTTGGTATTTCTGCTAAAAATAATTTCTTTTCTGTATTTTTTATTAAATTTTCAATTTTTTCAACTAATACTTCTTTTTATAAAACAATCTTATCCTTATTAAAAATTGCCACAATTTATTTTGCTATTATATCTTTACTTTCTAAATCATTATTAAATAAAAAAATATTAATTTATTTTTAATATATTTCATTCTTAATATCAGAACTATACATTCCGTTTTAATTATATTATTAAATTTATAAAATACAACAAATGACAATATTTTATTTATAAATTTTAGTTTTAAAAACATTATTATAATTTTTTATTATTTCTTCATAAAATAAATCTTATTTTAAAAAAATATAGACATATTTTATTAATATAATATAATATAATACATTAATCTATATTTTCGTCTAAATTTTAATAATTATAAGTAATTTATATAACTTTTAAATAACCATTATCAAAATTGCATAAATTGTTAATATTTTCTAATATTTATAAAGTACATCCTCTATCTTTATCTCCCATCATGATAATAGTATTCTTATATACGAAAAAAAAAAAAATATATATATATATATACATATATTTTTAATGTTACACTAGGCAAACCTAACATATTATTAGTATTATCTCTTTTTTTAACAATTTCAATATAAGAATTAAAAATATTAATTTATTCACACATTTCATTTTCTTAAGGAGAATTCCAATTAAACACAAAATTATATTCTAAGCTGTTAAAGCTTAATTTAGAATATATTTAATTTATATTTTTATAAATTGAGGATTTATTGAAAAGCTCAGTTTCATTTGATATTTTTTAGTTAGCATTTTAGAATAAAGGGTGTTAGTCATTATTTATAATTGAAAAAAATCTATTTTAGTTTACGTTTTTAAAAAAAAACTTTTCTAACTTTTTTAATTTGTATTTGTTAAACTTAATAAAAAAAATAAAATTATATATATGTATAAATATATATATATAAATATATATATATATATATATATATATATATATATATAATTATTAAAAGTTTACGTTGTTTGTTATTATTAGATTTTGAATTTTTCACTATAAAATAATTCAATTATTTTCTTATCTTTTATTTTAAAATATTATTCATAATCAAAGGCTTAATTAGTTTTCATTTATTTATTGATTATTATGCATAGTAGTTTGTTTTATTTTTTAAATTGAATTATCTATTCGTTCAAAATTTAAATTTATCTGTTTTATTTTATACAAGCATCTATTTTTTCTTTTTATTCTTTTTCAATTTTTTCTTTTATTTTATCGTTTCTATTTTATTATTATATTTTTGTATAAAATATATAAAAAAAATACTCATCCAATTCTTTTTAAGCAAATTAAATTTCATTTTAAAAAACTTAAAGTTTTTGTTAAATTTTTTCAATATTATTAATTAATTTATCTTCCTAAATAATTTAAAATAAATTAAAAAAAAAAATAAACTACTTCTTCTAATTAATTCTTAATTTCTTTATCTAATAATCTACATTCTTCCATATATTAATCGTTATTATGTCTAATTTAACTCATTTACCCTTACAATGATAAATTTCTAAGGTCATCCATAAAAATCTCACATTATCGTTAAAAATCATTTTTAAGTAAAACTCTTTAAGTAAAACCGTTTTAGGATTCATCACAGATTTTTTAAAGTTCGGAATTCGTTTTTTTAATGAAATAATAGATTAAAACTTTTAATCAACTTATCCTTTTATATTCATAAGTTAGATCATTAATTGTTTATTTAACTTTTAATCAATTTCTTATTCACTTTCTTATTTTATATTACTTTTTAAATCTTATTAAATACCTAATAATATAATAAATAATTATATAATAATATATATATATATATATATATATATATATATATATATATATAATAATTCACTAATATATAAATTATTAATATTTTAATGCTTTTATTATATAAATTAATCGATTCTTTTAATATAACTGCAAATTAGTTATAAAAACTTAAATTATTGTTTTTTTGTAATATATTAAATATCTAAAAACATAATATTTTTTAAGAATAATTACTAATATTATATTGCAAATTTTTTTTCATTTAAAAATAATTACTATAATAATTATTAATTAACTTATAAAAATAATATAGAAAAATGTGTTAATATGGTTATATATATTTAGTATTAAATATTTAATTAAATATCATATGTGCAATTTATTATATAATTAAATTGTAAGTTTAGTAAAAATATTAGAAACATAATTATAATTAGAATGATTTTAAATAATATTTATATTTCTAGTGAATATTAAGATTATAAATATATATGTTTATATGTATATATATATGATTATATATTTTTATTATTTTACATTTTTTCTTATTTTATTTTAAATTTAATATTTTTTGACTAAAATTCTAATTTTTATTATTTAGTTTGCATATTTATGTTTCGACCTTTTTAATAAAATATTTTATATATTTATATTTTGATTCTCCTCTAAAAAATTAATCCTTATTTTTCCATCATTGTAAAGTCTAGTATTTTAAAAAGGCACATTTTAATTATTTGAAAATGTGTTTTTTTATGAAAGTCCTTCAAATTATATTGGTTTTCTTTTAAATTCAGATTTTTTATTGTTAAATTAAAGAGTCATTTTTTTTGTATAAATATATATATATATATATTAATTATATTAATTTATAAAAAAAAAGAGGGAGAATATTTTTATTAATTTCAAATTTAAATAAAAAAATTAAAAGATATATATAATATATAAATATATAAATATATAATATATATATATATATATATATATATTTTATAAATAATATTATTTTTTTAGACTAAAATTAAACAAAAATATTAATTAAAAAGATGTTCAGAATATTAACTTTTGGTTTTGCCACTTAATTATATTTTAATACTCATAAAAATACAATAAAAAATGATTTAGAAAACTTTAAATAACCTAGAAATGCTATTTGTATTATATATCCATTAGAATCACATTTATTTTATGGTATTTTATCTTTTTAATAAGAAAGTATAACATAACCCACAAAATTTGTTATTCATTTACATAATATGCCTCCTAATTAGCAATACGAAGTATATTTACATTAATATGGCGATTTAAGCAATCCTCCGGAATCTTTTGGTTCATACTATACCCCAATGATAAATAATAAAGAAGCACTTAATCCTAAATTAGGTATATATAAAAAAGCTATTCTATATAAAACACATATTAATAATAAACAAACAAAAAAGTTAGTTTTTATTCAAACGATAGAGGGAAAGGATAATGTTCTGAACAATTAAAAAGCGTGAAACTTTTTGGAGAAAACAGTTTATTAGGTAAAGGAATTTCTATATAAAAAAATGGTAAAATAGAAGGGCTAGGAACAATTAGTTAATCATAAAAATTTTAAAATATACCTTTTAATTTATGAAATAAAATAAAAATAAAAAATCCGAATTCCCGGGTTCGAACCGGGGACCACCGGATAACTACAAATACTTTACAGTCCGATGCTCTTCCAACTGAGCTAAATTCGGTTTGTTAATAAATACATTATATATTATTATAATATTATTGTTATTTTAATAAATTTTAATATATATTTTTATCATTTTTTATATTATTTAAATTTAATAATTATTTTTTATATAATTTATTGTTATTTTAATTACTATATTTAATAGATTATATTTTTATGTTTATATTTTTTTTCTTAAAAAACAGAAATCGTTGGATATATATAATCTATTAGTGAAAATCATTTTTTTTTTTTTTTTTTCCTTTAATTATTAGTGTATTCGTTAAAGCAAAAAGGAATCAGTATATACTTTTTGTTAAAATATTATTTTATATACAAATATAAATAGTATTAATGTTTTAATATAAAAAAATTACTTGAAATTATTTTTAATTAAAACCTTTTTTAAGTTAAAATTTACATAAAAATTCTTATAATTATTTATATAAAAACTGTTTAATTCAAAGTTATAAATTTTTATTGTCAGTGTTTATTTATTTATAGAAAAATACTCAGTTTTTTTTAATTTTTGTATTATAATAAAATAATTATATTTTCTAATTAAAAATATATGAGGTTTTTTAATATTATAAATATCTATAAAAATTTAAATAAAAATCTTACTATTTTTATATATTTAATATTAGTATTAATTTTTTATTAAAAAAATAATGAAAATTGATATGACATAAAAAAAAATGAATAAAAAGATTATCAAAATTTAATAATCTAATTCCAATTATTTAAAATAAAAATTAAAATTTTTAAATAAAAAAATATAAGCTTTTATAAATAAAAATTATTTTATACTAAATATTTTCTTTTTTTAATAGAAAAAATAAAAATAATATTAAAAAAATGTAAATTATTTTTTAATTGCTAAAAATAAATATTTTATTAAATATATATATATATATATATAATATATTAATTTATATTTATTAAAATATTTTTTTTTGATTTATATATTTATTTATTATAATTATATAGATAAATACTTTATAAATATCAACAGCACTTTTTTTTATTTTCGTTTTTAATTTATTAAAATTCCTAATTTAATTTAATTTTTCTTTCACTATTTATACCATCTTTAAATTTTTCATATATTTTCTAAGATAAGTTTCTAAATAATTCTTATATATTAATATTCATAACAGCTGAAGTTTTAATATACTCCATTTCATATTCTTTACAATATTATTGTATAATTTCCTAATCAGGTTCATTATATTCTAAATCACATTTATTTCCTACTAAAATTTTAATAACATCTTTTCCACACTATATATAATTATATTTACATAAATTTAATTTAAAATTTACTTATATACGTAGTTCCCTTAGCCAATACTTTACATCAATAAGTGATTATATATCATTTAAATCGAATACTAAAATCGCTGCTTTTGCATTTTTATAGTATGTTTATATTATAGGTCTGAATTATTCTAAACCTGCAGTATCCCAAAGTTAAAGATTTATAATTTTATCATTTACTTATTCTGTCTTTTATTTAAAATCTACACTTACTATAAATTTTTTAATAATTTTTTTAATTTTAATAAATTAATTACTTGTAGTCTAAGGATATTTCATAGATAAAAAACCATTATTTATATAACTTAATAAAATTAGACTTTTTCCAACATTTGATTTTCCTATTAATAAAGTTTTGCATTTTATTTCGTTTAGTTGTTAATTCATATTTTTAATTTATATTTTTAAGTTTTATAATAAATATTTTTATATTTATAAATAAGTGTTTAAATATATTTATATAAATTATAACAAATATATTATTAGATTTAGATTTAAGAATATTTTTTATTAATTATAGATATAAAAATAAGTAGGAAAAATTAAAATTATATAAATTAATATGTTTATAAGAGATAAAAAATGAAATAAAAATAAATTATATATGAAAATAAATAAACAATTTAATAATATATAATATATAATATATAATATATAATATAACCTTTATTTATTATTTCTATATATATTTCATACTTTTAATGTATATAATTTTTACTTAATTACAAAAATAATAAAATTAATATTTATAAATTTTTAATTTATATTATTGTTTATTAAATTTTAGAATTTCAATTTTTACCTATTATTTGTATTAAATATTTATAATAAATGAATTTTCTAAATGTGTTTTTAATCTATATAAATTGTATTAATAAATATCAAAAATAGATTTAATATAATTGCTTGAAAATTAAATTAAAATATAATATTTTATATAAAAACACATTTATTTTCATTTAATAAAAAAATAAAAATAAAAATATATATAAATATTATAAAATTCTTTTATACCCATTATATTAAATAAAATATAATAATAAAATAATAATAACTTAATAAAAAAATATTCCCTCTAGAAATAAAAACAAATATTCTTACTTTTACCTTCTTCTTTTTAAAAAAAAAATATTAAAAATAATAAATAAAATAAGAATATATGGAATTCCTCGATATAATTACAGCCGTAATGGAAGTACATTAATTTCCCGAATAATACCAAGAAGAAATAAATAAACTATAAACAGCCTGCGAGACACTTCGTTCTGCCATATAGGGAATACAAAAAGAGCAAATGCCGAATGCTTTAGAGAATAATATAAGAAAAAACCTTTTAGAAGCCGAAGAATTAATAAAAAAAGTTCCTAAAACGGCGGGGCTATATGAGAGTATAAAAAGTCGTTTTCCTGGTTAAAATATATCTAAAATGAAAGACGCAACCGAAAACATAAACATGTGTGTAAATTATTTAAATACATGGATTAATAGTAAGATGTTTTAATCAAATAAAATGAAAATAAAAGACGACCATAATAGTGAATAAAAAAAGCCTTCTTCTCCCCAAAAATAAAAAGAAAAAGTCTTTTTAGAACCCACTTAAGTTGAAAATAGCGACGAAGAAGACGAATAAACTAAAAAAATTATCGAAATAAAAATTTAATTATAGGAAAATAATATTCCTTTATTTTAATAAAACAATATCCCTATAGAAGAAAAAATATAGGTAAATTTACCCATAAACAGTAATAATAAAATCGCGAAAAAATTCGAGAGATAAACATATGTAAATTTAGTCGAAAAATATAAAGATATCAATAAAATTTCAAGAGAACATGCATTTATAGAATTAATAGAAATATCAGAAAATCATTTACATTAACAAAATTATAATAATAGTACTTAAGATGAAGTATATGCGACTTGTAAAGACGAATTTGAAGATAGTTTTAATGAAAATAAGTCTTTATTATGCTTTATATAATGTAAAGGACCAAATGGGATTTGGGTTTTTAGAAATAAAAAACAATAAGTTGAAAATTATTAACATTTCGGTAGTAATTTTAAAAAAATTGATACTATTTAATAATGGATTAAAGTGAAAAAAGATGAAAAATGTCTACTTTTTGATGAGGATTAATTCGCTTTAGTTAAATCTGATAGTTTTTAGGTTATATATAAGTTTTATTTAAATTGAATAATATATATTTTATATTTTTGTGAATAAATATATATAAATATATATTTTTTTTTTTATGTAAATTAAAAAAAAAAAGATATATACTTTATTTATATATTTATTTAATAAAAAAAAAAATATATATTCCCCAACCGGGACTTGAACCCGGGTCTCAAGGGTGAAAACCTTGTATCCTAACCAGCTAGACTATTGGGGAATTTATGATATTATATAGGATTTAATTACAGATAATTAATACTTAAATAATAAAAAGATATTAGATTACATTATAATAATTGTAGATTTAATTTTTTATTGCAAAGAAAAAAAAATTCATTAAATAATTTATTTTTTTATATATATATTTTCAAGAAATGTTATTTTTAAAAAAATAAATATATTAAAAGATATATTATAAGAAAAATATATATAAATATGTATATAAATATATATATATATATATATATATATATATATATATATATATATTTATTATATATAATATTTTCATTATTTTCATTTTTTTCATTATTTTCATTATTTTTATTTTTATTTTTATATTTTATTTTACATATTTTAATAAAAAATTATTAAATAGAATATAAATTGAGTGAGGTGTTGTTGTTTTTATCTTAAAAAATAGATTTTTTCAGAAAAATTATTTTATAATGTTAAAAATTGGCATTTAATTTAGTATATTTTTTTTTTAATTTTATTTAAGACTTTAATTTTTAGTTTTTATAGATTTATGTTTTATAAAAATAAATTTTAAGTTTTTTTTTATAATTTTTTTTTTTTATTCAATTTATTCTATATAATCAATATATTTGGATTATTTTTTATAATTGTTTGTTATATATTATCCGAATAATTGGAATTATTTTTAATATTAAGAATATGTTTGAAATATTTAATCAAGGGAGTATTTTTATAAATATATATAAAAAAATATTAAAAATAATTTATTAATTTATGTTTAAGTATAATTAAATAATATATCTATATTCATATATATATAGATATTAATTATAAAAAAAATATAGAAATTTATAAAAATTAGTTTTAAATATTTAAAATAAATATAAAAAAGTTTATTAAATATAAAAAATAAAAGAAAAATATATATATAATTACAAATTATGTAGAGATATAAAGTATAAAATAAAGAAATTATATATATATATATTTATATATATATATATATATATATTATATATATATATATTTCTTTTTTTTTCAAATTATTGTTTTTATATCAAATATAATTTTTTAAGAAAAAAAATAAAAAAAATAATCTTATAAAAATATTATTAAAATAAAAAAAAGATCTATTAAACTATTAAAATAAATTTACTAATTTTTTGCTTTATTTAAATAAAAAAAAAAAGATATTATATGAATGCAACCACATTAATTGTAAATAATATACCAATAAATTTAAAGAACGAAGATATCTAAATAAGATTTAGAGATTTTAAAAATTTTTTAGGTACAAGGATATATTATAATGATAAGAATGAATCGTAAACCTATATATTTTATTTTATATAATAAAAAAATGAGAATATATATACAATATATAAATAAAGCGAATATGCAGAAGTAGATTTTAATACATTTGAATCTGCAGACTATGCCAAAAAAATTATGAGTGGCTTTTAATTTCCAAATACCCCTTTAAGAATGTGTAATATCAATAATTATAAATATATATAAATTTTATTAAAATAAAAAATAATTAAAGATATCGATATAAAATAAGAATAATATTATTAAAATGATTATATATAATAAGGAAATTATCATTAAACTAATAATCCATAAATACAAGTAAATATATAAACATAAATTATAATAATTATATTATATTTTATATTAGACACAATTAAATATATATATATTTTTATATAAATAAAATTTATTTTTATTAAAAAAACAAAAAAAGCCTCCAATTCCATTTTCATAATAACCTTAAATACATTAATAACATAATTAAACTTCCTTTATTCCAATTGAATATAATTAGTAATATTAATAACCTTAATATATGAATTAGGGTAATTTTTATTATATATATATATATATATAAAATTATTTTAAAATGTAAACATATAATAAGTAAATTAGTAATAAATTGCACAAAATTCTAGCTATATACCACCTATTTCTGCTACTTATTAAGCACCTGCATCTTAATAATCGTAAACAAAATGAAATATATATATATATAAATATATATATATATATAAATATAAATATATATATATATATATATAATATATATATATTTATATTTATAAAAGAAATTAATATAATTAATAAATTCCTTAATAAAATTATATGATTGGAAATTTAAATTAATAATAGTAAAAAATTATAATTTGCATAACATTATTGAATTATTTATTTATTTTTTTTAAAAAAAAGAAGATACACATAACCTTAATAATTGTTAAATTAAGGCACAAATTAAATATAAAATACTTCCTTTCAATAAACATTTAATGTAAATAAATAAATAACAGGAAATTATCATGACAATTAAACTAATTATATGTCAAGAGCTATTTAAAATATAGAAAATTAAATATTTAAATTAGAAAAAGAAGCAACTAATTCTTTATATGTAGATGGTAAAAAGTATAAATATTTATAATATTTATATATAAATATTAAAAATAATTATTATATTAAATAAATATTTATATTAAAAAAGGAATTCCTATAGATTCTGATGAACGAGAAGTTTCGCGTATATTTAATAAGAAAAAAAAAATAAAAAAAAAAAAAAAAATATATATATATATATATTTATATATTTATATATTTATATATTTATATATTTATATATATATATAATATTTATGTTTTTATATATAAAAGATATTTTTAGACCGTTTCCTGGATTTGTAGCAGTAAGATTAATTCGCAAAAGAACATAAACAGGAAGAGAATTTTATTTTTGTTTTGTTGATTTTGAAAATTCATTATAGTCTTCTATTGCTATGAAAACTTTATAAGTAATATTAAATTTATAATAAATATAATAATAATATTATATATATTAATTATTTAAAAAAATTTGAAGGGTTATAGATTTGAAAAAGATGATGAAGTTGGATTGAAAATTTCTTTCGGCGTAGAACCTCATTCGAATTAAAAAAAGATAATAATAATAGTAATAACAGTAATTATAATAATAAGAATAAAAAAAAGGTTAATAAATTTAGATGAATATTTTTTTTATTTATTTAAAAAAAAAATGTATTAAATTTTATATTTATTTTTATTTATAAAAAAAAATAAAAATATTTAAAAAAACAAACTTTTACAGTAAAATAAAGAATAATAAAAAATTATTTAATTTAATATTTTGTCTAATATAATAAAATATATAAAAATTATATATTTAAAAAAAAAAAATTTAAATAGAAAAAGAAAATTACAAATAAAATATATAAAAAAAATGTATTAATAATATTGATATTAAAATTAATAAAATTTCATAAAATGCCTATATTTAAATATTTATATATTTATATATTTATATATTTTTATATTTATATATATATTTTATGCTTTTTATAATTAAAAAAAAAAAAAATTAATTTTAATAATATTAAATTATGAATTTAATATTTAATTGACTATATAATAATTATTATTATCAAAAATTTAAAAATAATTTTAAATATTAATTAAAGTATAAAATAATAATAATTTAATTTATCATTCTTAATTAAATAAAATATATATTTAAAAATAAAATAATACTTTATTAAATATATATTAAATAAAAATAATATTTAACATAATAAATTTAATTTTCTAGCACATAATATTTTTTGTTTTTTATGTTAATTATAATCTATATAAATATTTAAAATATATAATAAAAAATATAAATTAAATAATTTTTATAGATAATTTAAATTTAAATTAAAAAAATCATATAATTATAAAACTTATTATAAAAATAATAATTGTAATAAATAATATTTCATAATTAATAATAATAAAAAAAAAAAATTAATAAAAAATGTAATAAAAAATATAAAATATAAATAAATATTTTTTTTTTAAATTATTTAATTTTAATAAAAAAAATAATATTATTATTAAAATATTTTTTTAAAAAATTAAAAATTATATTTTATAAAACTTTTATTAAAAAATATAAAAAAAAAAATAATATCATATATTATTTATATAATATATCAAATAATTATATATATGTATGAAGAATATTATATTAATTAATTTATATATATATATATATCTATATATTAAATATATATATATTTTTTATTAATATATATATTAGTATATAATTTATGTATAAATATATTAAATATTTATATAAATATATATTTAAAAAAAAACTAAATTTTTATAACTTTTTATATTCCTAAAAATTTTTTTTTTATTTTTACAAATATGAATAAATATGAAATTCTCGGTGTAAGTGGCGAAGGTGCATATGGCGTAGTATTAAAATGTAGAAATAAAGAAAACAAAGAAATAGGTTTTATAAATTTTTATCTACTAAATTAAATACATTACAATATATATATTTATTTATTATAATAGTTGCAATCAAAAAATTTAAAGAGACTGAAGATGACGAAATAGTTAGAAAAAATATATAAAGAGAAGTGAAAATGCTACGTTTATTAAGACATAAAAATATTGTAGATTTAAAGGAAGCCTTTAAAAGAAAAGGTCGTATATATTTAGTATTTGAATATGTTGAAAAAAATTTACTTGAAATTCTTGAGTAAAAACCTTCTGGACTTGAACCCGAAATAATCAGAATAATTATATATTAGCTCTTAAAATCACTTTATTAGTGCCATTAATAAGACGTAATTCATAGGGATGTCAAACTTGAAAATCTACTAGTAAATCCATACAATTACGAACTAAAATTATGTGATTTCGGTTTCGCTAGGGCATTACCTACAAAATAAAATGACGTTTTAACAGATTATGTGGCTACAAGATGGTATAGAGCGCCTGAGTTATTACTTTAATGCCCTAAATATGGAAAAGCTGTTGATGTATGGGCAGTAGCATGTATTATGGGCGAACTTATTGATGGTTAACCAATGTTTCCAGGCGAAAATGAAATAGATTAACTTTATTTAATCCAAAAATTGCTTGGAAACCTGACTATTGAACAAAAAGAGCTTTTTATAAAAAATCCAAGATTTGTTGGTATGAAATTTCCAGAAATAAACAAACCAGAAAGCATTGAAAGGAAATATTTGGGAAAATTAAGTAAAAAAGCATTAAATTTAATGAAATTAATGCTCAAAATGGACCCTTAAGACAGAATTTCAGTCGAAGAGGCTTTAAAACATTAATTTTTTGATGAAATAAGAGATTAATTTAAAGAAGAAAAAAAAGAAGTATAAATAGTTGAAAAAAAGAAGTCTTTTTAAAATGTTTAAGACGAGTAAATAAAATATATATATATATACATATATATATATATATATTTATATATATATATATAAATAAATATTTATTTTTCATTTGAGGAATAATAATCAGAATTTAATCGATAATTAAAATAAACTGTTTGGTTAAAAATCTATTCCTTCTTATTTATAATAATAATAAGGTTAAAAAATAATGTAGAACACAGTTTACAATTATAAGGTGAATGATAAAATTATAGATGATAGGTCATTTATTGAATAAATGAAAAAAAGCAAAGTTTATTATTTATAAAAATATATAAATATGTATATATATATATATATATATATATATATATATATATATTTTTATATTTATTATTTTTTAATTATAAAGGAAAATAAAAATACAAATAATAATGGCATATAAGTCAAGATTTAATAAGCGTAAAACAAAAATTCCCAATTTAAAAAAACTTGAGTTTGAATAAAATACATTAAACATTTTATTAATCTTTAGGTATTTTTATATGTTTATAAATATAATATCTAAAATTCAAATAAAAAAAGCTTAAAAAGATGAACATATGTAATAATTTAAATAGAAACAAATAAATAATTAAAATCAAATATTACCCTAAATAAACAAAAAAATTCATAATATAGTATAAAAATAAAAATAAAATTAACAAAATATATAATAATATATATATATATATTAAATTAATAAAAGAAAAACGAGGCATATTCTTTATCTCCTACGTCTAAAAATGGAAAATAATAATTTGGTTAATAATATAATAAAGTAAATATATATATATATATATATATATATATATATTTATATATTCATATATATATATATTTATTTATATTAAAGTAACATTAATAATAATAATAACAATAATAATAATAATAGTAATAGTAATAGTAATAATAATAGTAATAGTAATAGTAATAGTAATAATAACAACAGAGTAATATAAATTTCTAATAGAAATTAATGAATGATATTAATTTATAGAAATTTAATAATTTTAATGTCATTTATAATTACAAATACATATAATTATAATATGCCTTAAGGAGGTTATAAAGGTTAAAAAATAATTAAATAGAAATAAAAATATTAAATTTGATTTAATTTTATATTATATTTATATTTTAATTGATTTATAAAATTAATTTAATTTTTGTTTTATATATATATATATAAAAAAAAAACAAAACAAAACAAAAAAACATGGAATAAAAAGTTAAAAAAAATAAAAAAAAATTAAACTAAAAATTAAAATGTAGTTTGTAAAAAAAGATTTATTAAATTAATTTTAGAATATAAATAAATATTAACGTTAAAATTTATTTTTATTATTTATTATTTATTTGATTTAAAAAAATAGCACATAAAAAATATATATAAAGCTTCAAGCAATTAATAGTTTCAAATAAAATAAATTTTAGAAAATATGATCATTTATTTTAAGTATTATAATAATAAAATAATAAATAAAAATAAATAAAAAAGGAAATAAAAAATAAACTTAAAAGCATTTAATAAAGTGAATCAGAAAGGTTAAAATAAAATCCAAAAATTATATAAATACAATAATATATATATATATAATTATATATATATATATATATATATATACAATTATTTAAAAGAAATAATATGAAAATTTAAAATGAATAAATTACTAAAAATTATAAAAGATTTTCTTTAGAAATAGGTAAAGCAACAAAAGTATTTATTTAATTTTTATTAAAAAAAAATTTAATAATTATTTATATTTATATATAATTACAAATACTTTTAATTTTAAACATATTAATTTTTTATTATAATAACAATACAAATTTATCGATATTAAATTATAATATAATAATATATATATATATATATATATATATATATATTTATATATATATATATATATATATATATAAACACATCTATATATACATATATATATTTTTTATATCTATTTACCATTTTTATTAGTAATCAGAAATTGATAAAACTAATTAAAAGATATAAAAATTAAATGAAAAAATTTCTTTATAAAAACTTAGTTATAAAAATTATTAAGATTTAACGTTTAATTATGAAAGGAACTAAATATTTACTCCCATTAAGTAGAATATGGATCGAAATAAAAGTTTTTAATATTAAAAAGATCATATGATATCCTTATGTCAAAATTAATAATAAACAAGACCAAAGAACATTTCTTTATAAAAAAATTCTTAAAATAATAATAACTCTTTAAAAGAATTTTAAAAAGTTATTGAAAAAATAAACGTTTATTAGTAAAAAAAACCTAACTTAATATAATAAATTGAAGATATTGACAATGAAACATTTAAAATAAAGTAAGAAAATACTAATATATAGGAAGAATTAACCTAATACTTAAAAATACTGTAAAATAAATACTTAACTTATATATAAAACTAAAGCCAAAAAATAAAAAGTCTTTAAAAAAACCTAAATGAAAAAACTGAACAATTAGAAAAAATACAAATTCTATATAAATAATAAAACCTAGAAATATAATAATTAAAAAAAACAATAAATGATTATAAAAAATACTGACAAAAATATATATATATATATATATATTTATATATATATATAAAAAATATATATATCTTATACATATATATATATATATATATATATATATATATATATAGTTTAGTTTTATAAAAAATAATCATTAAAAAACTCCGAAAAATAAGCTTACGTTTTCACTCCATCCTCCTCCTATATTTATGCACTTTTTTTCCTAAATATTGACCTATATTGGCAAATTTTACTTGAAAATAACCGAATTACTTCCCCACCAAAATAGCATTCCTTCTAAATCTAAATATAGGCAACTTTTTTTACCACAAACTATTTTTTAGTTAAGATTTCTCATTTATATTTACTCAGGAAAAGCCTTATTTATATAATTACCATTTCCTAATTGACCAAACTAATTATTTCCCCAACAATAAACCTTTCCTTTTTCAGTTTTCCCTATACAAAATCTACTACCACATTAAATAAATGTAACTTTTTCTTTTATTTTTTCAATTTTAAAAGCCTATTTTTCTCTATTTTAAAAATCTCCTAGACCTAATTATCCACTTTCATTTTTTCCTTTAGAAAATAGACTTCCATTTTCACATAAAAAAATAGAAAAAAAACTACCACAACATACTTATTTAACCTTTTTTAAACCCAATATTTTACATAAAACACTATCCTTTTGCACACTATAAGCCTCCCCTTTTTCAGAAACAACTTCAAATAGTCCCGAAAGCTCTTATTATTATAAAATTCGCATTTTTTAAGGCATTTTAGTCCCAATATACTCTTAAAATTATTCAAAAAACCTTCCTTATAGTCCTTCTAGAGGCAGATTATACCCCCAAACATACTAAACACCCTAAAAATCTTCGACAAATAGGCAATTTTGGCATTTATTGACATATCTAACGTTTAAAAATTGTTTAATATATAATTTTTAATTGTAAATAATATAAAATTTATCACTGGAATCTTAAATAGTTATGAAATTTTCGCCCAAAAAAATATTTTTAAAAAAATGATTTTTCGCTTCGATTTTTTCTTAAATTTCGCTAAAATTCATTTCAAAATTTCCTCTAAAAAAAAAAGAAACTTCCGTTTCGAAATCCAATAAAAATCCAACTTTTTTTAAAAAAACATTTAGATTATATCCTTTATATACTAATTATTCGCATATATTATAGTTCTCAGATACCATTTAGGCCGTATTATTAGATATAGAGTAGTTATATATAAGATTTTAACTAAAAGAGGTCCCAATATGACTTCTTATAGGTTGTTTTTAACTAAAACATATATTATTTTATATATTTTATGTGTTATATAGTTATTAAAAATCCTTATTTTAAGTTAAATTAATTCCATATGGTATCTATGAGTACATTAAGAGTTTTTCAGATTGATTTTGATAGTTAAGACAAGGTTAAAAATTATAAAAAGTGCCTATTTTTGAGGAGTTTTTTTTATATAGATAATAACGATAATATTTTTGTATAAAAATAGTGTTTTTTTTCAATTTTTGGTATAGTTTTTACAAGAATTTTTTCCTAAAAAAAGCCTGAATTTTAAATATAGCATTTATTTTTTTTTAGTGTTTTTTTTTAAAAAAATTCTAAATTTTTTAAATGGCTTTAATTTTTTTGATTTTTTAATAAAAATTTTCCATTAAAATTTTTTTTTTTCTTTTTTTTTAAAAAAAAAAATAAAAAAAAAAAAAGAGAGAAATATATATATATATATATTTTTTTTTTTAAACAAAAAAAAAATATACATATTTATATATATAAATATATGGCAGAATAATTAAAAATAGCCTTCTCAGTATTATTAATAGGCCTAGAAAATAGTGGTAAAACGACCCTAATACGTAATTTAACAGGTTCTAAGGCAGAAATATACCCCACTGCAGGTTTCGAGATTCAATATGTTACTATAAACGAGATAAGTAGTCCAATTTTAGTCTATGATTGTTCCGGATAGGGTAGAAATAGGGATAATTGGCATACATTTTACGATATATGTGAGGGTATATTATTTGTAATAGATAGTACAGAGTTTACAAGAATTTCGCATATAAAAAGATAAATAAAATTAATTTTTTAGGACAATTTAGTGAAAGACAAAAAACCAATAATATTCGCTTTTAATAAATATGATGATGAAGAGGCTATAGAAAAGGAAGAATTTGTGAAAGAATTAGACATAAATGGACTAAAAAAATTATATAAAAATCCAATTTCTACTAAAATCATAACTGGAAAAACAGGAGAAGGGGTACATGAATGTTTTTAATGGATAAGAGATAATAAAAATATTAAAAATTGAATATATATATATATATATACATATATATATATATATATATATATATATATTTATATATATATATAAAAATATGTATTAATATATTTTTTAAAATATAAATATATAATTATTTAATTTATTTTTAATCAATTTTATAAAAAAAATTGAGATTTGAATTTAATTATTAAAATAAAAATAAAATAATATTAAAATTGTTAAATTATTTTAATAAATATTAAAAATTCTTATAAAGTAATTTATACAAATATATTTATTAAATAAATAAATATGATCAATAAAAAAAAAATATAAGAAAATTTAAAAAGAAAAAAGAAAATTAAAATTAAAATAAATAATAAATAAAAGTAGTAAAATATATATATATTTATTAATTTATATATATATATTAATATCTTTTAAATACATTTATATCTAAATTAATTTTAATATATATATACATATATATATATATAAATATAGAAATTTTTATAATAATATTAATATATATAAATAAATTTATATATATATATATTTTAATTTCTAATAATATATATATATAAATGTATATATATATATATATATTTATATATCAAATATATAAAATAAAAACATAATTATATTAATTGCTTATATAAAAAAATTTATAGACTTTATTTTGTATATTATAATTATTAATAGATAAAATTATAATTAATAAAAAAATATATATTAATATATAAATTAATAATATATATATATATAAATATTAATATATTTATATATATATATATTTATATTTATTCATATATTTAAATATATTCTTATATATATACATAAAAATATATTTTTTTAAATAATAATATAATATATTGAATTATTTATTACAGTAAAAAATAATTATAATAAGTAGTATTTTATTAAATTATATATAAATAATACATATATATGATAAAAATAACTTAATATACATTTTAAATTATAATATATATTTAATTTAATAATAATTTTAATTTATAATTTAAAATTACATATTTGTATATTTCATTAATAAAATATAAATAAATATATATATATAAATATATATTTATAAATATATTTTATATAAAAATTTACATTATATATATTACTTTTATATAATATAAAAATAAAATATTTTATTAATTTCTTTTAAATAAAAAATATATGTTATTTAATATCCTTAACCCTAAATCTCGTAAATCTACCTAACTATCCTAATAATAATTACAAATATAAAATAACTAGCCCGAAGATCTACTTGATATATATCCTTTAGTTTAAATTGACGATTTTCCTATATAAAAATTATCTAAAAAAGTTCTTTCTAAATTTCTAAATTTCCGAACTCTCTTATCTTAAAATAAGATAAATCTTACTGACCTTCGTCTTTTTTCGTTTTCTGGAATCCCTGACGATTGTCCTTCTTTACGTCCTATAATATGGAAATTACTTATTGGTTATTTACCTCTAAATAAATCAGAATGGGAAAAAAACACTTAAAATAATCTCCAAAACTACTCTTAATTTTTAAATGATTATATATATAATGCAATATCTCCATCCATTGAAATAATATAATTGCGTGAAAATGAATTATATATAGAAAAAAAAGACAGAAATCAACTTTCCAATCAAGAATTTGACGATTTTTTCTATGACAAAGACTTATATATACAAATAGAAAAAGATATATATAGAACGCGTTCATAAATGGACTTTTTTGGGAAATATTTAGAATTATAAACCTCATAAAGACCCGTTTTTTCAGATAAAAATGACCCAAAAATTACTCATTTTGACATTTTATGCCGTACTTTATTTATATATGCTAAATTAAACCCGACAGTCAAATATGTTTAAGGAATGAACGAAATTTGTGCCATATTATACTATGTTTTCATGCAAGAAAAACAAGATGATCCCTTAATAAACGAAGCAGACTGCTTCTTTTGCTTCTCTTTAATAATGACTGACCTTAAGGAGGCTTTTGTGAAGACCTTTGATGATGATAAAGGAGGTATAAAGGATAAAATGTAAATTTTTAACAATTTATTGGCAAAAATACACCCTAATATATATCAAAAATTCACCTAATTTAATCTATTGCCTCATTTTTATGCCTTAAGGTGGATTTTGTTAATGTTTACACAAGAATTTGAGATTTGGGACGTTTTAAGGCTATGGGATAGTGTTTTTAGTAAAGAAAATTGGAATGATTTTGTGTATTTTTTAGGGATGGCTGTAATTGAAATTTAAAAGGAGTTTTTAAACGAGGATTTTGCGGAATGTATGGAAAAACTATAAAAAATAGAAAATTTAGATGTAGTTTAAATTATAGAAATTGCAAATGGATTTTTTAACGAATTTTAGAATATTTTATAAATATGAAAAAAAATTAAAATTTTGACTGTTTTTTTTATAATAAATATTAATTTAAATTTCTTTTATAAATAATAAATTGTATAATAGTGAAAATTAAGGAAATATATAAAGATATATATATATATATATATATATATATTTATATATATACATATTTTTATTATATTTATTCTATATATAGTTATTTAATTTAGATTATTTTTAATATTAAATTATGTTACTTTTTGGTTTAAATGTCTATATATTTATTTTATATAAAAATTAATATTATATTTATATAAATTAAATTGTAATAATACATTTTTAGTAATATAATAAACATTAAATTTATAAATAATAGATAAATGTTACTATTTATAGAATCATTTTGAATATTTTATATATAAAAATTAAATTATATATATATATAAATATATATATTATATAAGATAAATAGATAAAATATAAAATAATATATTATATTTTATTTATGAAATAATTATATATAAATACAAAAATATAATGATAATATATTTAAATAAATTAGAATGTATAATTTTTATTACTAAAAATATATAAGTTTGTATATTTATTAATTAAATAGTAACAAAATTAATTTAAATTAAAAATTAAAAAAATAAATTTATATTTTTGTTTAAATTTAGAAAATATTTTTTTATTTATTTAGATAATATTTAAAATTTAAATAAAAAAAAATTAATTAATATTTAAAATAAATAAAATAATATAATTAAAAAAAAGAAATATATAAATAAATTTAAATGAATAGTAAATTTTAAAATCTAAATATAAATATAAATATAAATATAAATATATATATATATATAATATTTTAAAATATAAATTAAATTTTTAAATATATATTTCAATCCAAATTTTTTTTTATTATTTTTTTTAATAAAAAATCTTTATTTTTAATATTATTTTTCATAATTTTCTATTATTTATTTTTATATTTATTTATTATTATTTTATTAATTATTGTTTTTATTATATAAAATCTTTATATAATATAAATTATAATTATATTTATTATTATTAAATATATAAATATATAAATATATATATATATATATATATATATATATATATATATATATTTAATAATTTTTATTAAATTATTATTACATCCCTAATACAATTTATTTATTATAAGTTAATGTTATAAATATTTTCATATTCTAATTATAAAGACTAATTTTTTTTACAAATATACATTATTTATATATTACATAATTAGCAATATACTTTTATTATAATATATATATATATTTTTTAAAAAAAAATCTTTACATAAACATTTATATCAAATATATTTTTCAAAATAAATTATTCCATTTTTCTTTTTTTAATTTTTTTTATTCTTTTTCTTTTTTTCCTTTTATATAAATTTCAAAAGCTTCTTTTTGTGCATTTACAGTACTTAAATATCCTTTTGGCATTCCCATATCTTAAACTGGACAAATATACTCAACTGATATTATTCCTTTTGGATAATTGATTTATTCTCCCCAACACATACATTTTAATGTACTCCTTGGTGCAAAATATACTCCTGATTTTTTATTATGAGGTATTTATGCAAATATAGCTTCCTCTAATGTTTAATATACATAAAATCCTCCTTTGTGTCCTTATTAAGGTTTTTAATGGAGTGTTTAGCCTAATTTATACTCTGTTTTTCCATCGAAAATTGATAAATATTTGCCTAGTGTTTTAGCTACAATTTTATAAAAAAAATAGGCTTTTTATGTATTTCTTCTTGTATTATATTTTCTTTATTTTCCATATTTTTTTATAAAAATAAATAATTTATTTTTATATTTAAAAAAAAAAAAAAATGATAAAATTTTTAATAAAATATTTTTAATTCATTTTTTCGAAAATTTTCTAAAGAAAAAAATCAATTTTAAAAAAGTAAAAAAAATAAAATATAAAAAACTAAAAAATATACATTTTATATATAGAAAAAATACAAAATCTAATTCGATGAATGATTTTTAGATAATAAATTTAAAACTAAAACCTTTTAGAGAAATTCCGGAATTCATAAAAAATGAATTTTATTAGATAACTTAAGAAAATGCAGATATTTATATCAAAAAAGAAAATTATAAAAATAGAAAAAGTAGATCTTTATAATTAAATATATGATAATCATTTAATATAAAAAAAAAAAAAATTATAAAATTTTATATAAATATAATATATATTCGAAATTTTAGATTTTAATTCAAGTTTTTTTTGTTGATTTTACTAAATTTTAAATTTCGTCTAAAATCTATTATAAAAAAAAAAATATGTATATAAAAATATATATATAATAATAAAAAAAAATAAATAAATATATAATAATTAATATAACAATATAATAATAATTATATATATATATATATAAAGATTTAATTATACATATATATGTATATATATATCTATATTTTTATATAATAAAATATATTTTTTATTATTTAAAATTTTTATTTTTAATTATATATTTAATTAATTATCTCCTATTATTATAATTTTTTTTATTTAATATTCTTTGCATTTACAATAAAAATAATAAACTAATATTTTTTTAGTTTTATTTTTATATTTATTTATATTTTTTAAATCATTAATAATATTTAAAAAAAAAAAATATTTATATACAAATTTTATATAATTAAAATAATTAAATAATAAATATATATAATTATATATATATTTATAAAATACATATGTATATATTCATATATTTAAATAAAGTATATATATAATATACATATATATTTCATTTACAAAATTACTTTTAATTTATTTTTCGATATACTTTTATTTATATTATTATTTAAATTCTAAATATGTTATTTCTCTTATATATTTTATTTAATTTCATCTAACCTTTCTTTTTAATGAAGTCTTAATTTCTCATCTATCTATATATAAATAATAATAACCGAATTTAAAATATAATTAATAAATAAATATATATATATATATTACTTATTTTGTTTACATTTATAAATTTTTATTCGATAAATTTAATTTAATTATTTTATCATTCTATTCTTCAATTTCTTATTTTAAAATAATTTTTTCTTAGTGAACTTAAATAATTTCATTTTGATTTTTTTCTATTTTTTCATTCTTTTTTTATATAATATCTTCATATTCTTTATTTTTATTTTCAATAATCTTCTCATATTCCATCTTTTATTCTAATATCTTTAAAAATAAGCCATATATCTATGTATATATATATATATATATATATATTTATGAACTTCTTATTGGTGTTTTTCCTTTAAATTTTCTATTTCAAAAATTAATTTTTAATTTTCAATCTTTTAATTTTCATTATTTATTATATATTCATTTTTCTATTAAAAAAAAATATATAAAAAATACCAAAAAAAATAATACATCTTATTCTATATACATTATTTTTTATAATAATTCCTATTTTTATTCTATATTTTAATCATAAATAACCTATTATTCTTTATTTTTTTCATCTAAAATACCTATTTTATCTATTAAACATTAGTTTTTTTATGAATATTCACTATTTATATCTTCTAAACTAACAATTTAAGCTTTATAATGCTTAATTTTTTCTTTTATAACTTTATTTTCATCCTCTATAGCCTAAATATATATCAAAAGTTTATTTTTTTCTTCCTAAACTGCATTTTTTTCATCTAAAATATTTTTTTTTTCATTTTGAATTTTTTCATTTTCATTTTGAATTTTTTCATTTTTTTCTAAAATTTATTTTTTTTCCAAAAAAAATTAATTTTTTTCATTTTGAATTTTTTAGTTTTCCTTTTTTAATTTTTCCATTTTTTTTTAATTTTCCAAAAATTCATTTTTTAAATTTTTTTTTTTATTTTTTTTTCTTTCATTTTCTTCTCAAAAAATTCAATTTTTTCTTCCAATAAATACATTTTTTGCTGCGTTTTTTCTTAAAATTCACAAAATTCCTCTTTCAATTCTTAATTTTTCTTTGTTTTTTTTATAATCTTTCTTTTTAATTCAATATTAATTTCTTTTAGTTTTTTTTGCATTATTTTCTCCTCTAACATAAATACATTCTCTTCTTTTAAGCACCATATTATTATTTTTTACTCATTTTTATCATCTATATACCTTTAAGCATCTCCAAAATCCATATTAACCTAATCTGGTAGTCTTTCTATAGAAATTTTATACTTTTTTCCAATTTTTATTTACAAAATAAGCACAATCTTCTCATAAAAATTGCTTTCTTATATTTCCTAACTGATATTCTATATATTCTTCAAAGCCTAAACATATAATTGTTTAAAATTTTTTTTAGAACTGCATTTTTCCTTTTTATTATCCAAAAAATAGAATTTTTTTTCCTCAAAAATCCCCATAATTTTAATAACCAAATTTTCATAAAAAAGCTCTTCGAAAATTCGAAAAATTAAGCCTTTTTAATTTTTTTCGAAACCACTAAAAGTGAATGATTTTCCACTTCTTTTTATATATTTTAGAAAAATATTATTATATATATAAAATAGTACCTTCCTTATCCCATTATTAATATTTAAGTATTTTTATAATCATTATTTAATATTTTTTCTTATATAGCTTTTATATAAAATTATTCTTAATTATGATTTTATAAATAAATCTCAGGAGTTATATTATTTTAAGGATATATTTTTTATATTATATCAATTATATTTTATGAATTTTGACATTAAGAAGGTTTTATTCTATATATATATTGACAAAAACTTTATTATTGCATATATTATATATTTCAAATTTAATTTATTTTAAATTAAAAAAAAATAAAAAATAGAAAAATAATAATATAAAAATAAAAATAAAAAAATTAATTAATATATAAAAATATAGATATATAAATATATAAATATATAATATATATTAAATATATATTTTATATATATTTATAAATTTTACATTTGTATTTTTTATTTTTTATTTTTTAATATTATAAAATTATATCTTTTTATAACTATTTTTTTTATACAATTTGTTTATATATATAACTTATCTATAAAAATATTTTTGATTAAATAATATATGTTTAAGTTTTCTTTATGTTTTTTAATAAATTGTTTTTATTTCATTTATTATTATTAATTTATTAAATTTTTTTTTATTATTTCTTTTTTTATTAATATTTTATTATATATATATACATATATAATTTTCTATATTTATTTTATATCAAATTACTTGGATAACACATTCGATAATATATTTTATATAATTTTTGTATTTCTAGAACATTAATTTTATTGAATTATTTATAATCATATATTTATTCTAATATTTATATATTTAAACCTGACTTTAATTATAATTTCTTATAATAAATTACTTATCTTACATTCTTACATTAAAGCTTTATTTTCTATATATAAAAAAAAAAACAAATACTTATTATTTTATAATTTTAACTAATCACACTATTAATTGTTTTTTTATATTATCTATTTATAAAAATACTTTTTTTATTTTTTACTCTAAAAATTTTTTATGTTAAATATTTTTTTTTTTTATTAAATTATAAAATATTTTTTTTTTTTTTTTTCATTAAAAACATTTAAAAATAAAAAAACTAATTATATAATAAAATTACAATAAATTAAATTTAAAAATGAAAGTAAATGAATAACAAACCGAAAATTCATTTTAAAAAAAACAATAATAAATAAATAACGAGTAAGATAAGCCTCATATTAACACCATAAACAATCAAAAGAAAAGTTTTATATCTAATAATGGTAATTAAAAGTAACCTCATGCCCCCACAATCCTCCAAGCATCCAAAAACGGTAAAATAAAAGAGTAAATACTAGAAACCGAAAACAACTAAATGTTAAATACCCTTACACATTAAGAAAAAGAAACTTTTAAGACTATAATAGAAGATAATGACGATGGTTTTGATAAAAGTACAGGTTTTGAAGATGGTAGAAAGACTAAATCATATTTCGGTAGGTATTTACTTATAGACTAAGCCGTTTCTTCTTTTTCTTTTCTATCAGTTATTATTACTGTTATTAATTATGAACTAGAATATAATGAAACAAAGGAAACAATAGCCATATCTATGCTTTGGGCTACTACAGTATTAACAATAGGCATGTTAGTTTTAACATTTGTGAGATATTAAGCTAAATTAAGTAAATATATATATATGTACATATACCGAATTTAGCATATATGTTATTTTTTCTATGTTTTTAATATTATATATCGAAAGAACAATAGTCAATCAATTTTTTATTATGCCAACTTCTCTATAAATATATATATATATTTATATATAAATATATATATATATATATTTTATAAAAAAAATATATATTTATACTTATATATATATATAGCATGGTTAAAAACAAGAAAAGTAATATCAGAAAAATAAAATATAATAACATCGGGTTTTATTTTACCTTTAACAATTGAATTAATATTAAATGCTGTACACCCAATGCCTTGGACTTGGAATATAAGGATATATTTTGTAAATGAGCCTAGTGGAAATTAAATAGTATATAACTATATATACATAAAAATATATAAATATATATGTTTAATATAGTTTTATTATCATGTAAATGAAATACTAACCTTAATTATGCTTCTTCGTGTCATATTAATAATAAGGACATTACTAATGATGTCTGAATGGTATAATAATCGTACATAAAGAGTATGTAATATGTATGCATGCGAAGCTGACTATTTGTTTGTAATCAAATGCATAATGAAGACATATCCTTATTTTTTAATCATATCAGCAATGGCTATATCTATATTTGTATTTGCTTTTGCTATAAAAATATGCGAATCACCTATTGTAAGAGATACAGAACCCAAAATATTCTATAATTTTTTAAGTAGTATGTGGAATATAATTGTGACAATGACAACTGTTGGATATGGCGATATGTCAGCAAAAACTCATTTGGGAAGATTTGTAATATTCTTTGTATGTATATGGGGTGTTTTTATAGTTTCTATGATGGTTATTACACTTAATAATACATTATAAACAACTACTTTAGAAAATAAAGCAATAGCAGTCCTAGATAGACTATAATTAAAAGGAGAAATGAGAGAAAGTGCAGGAATGGTACTTACTTTATTAGCAAGAATAGGTATAACAAGACGAAAAAAAACATATTTCGGCTCATTAAAAAAATCGATTTAATTAAAACTAAGAAAAGCATTAAATGAATTCAAAAAAGCTTAAAGATAATATAGAAGTATATCTGATGAAAATATATCAGAAGAAATGGTAAAACAAATACCCATATATATATAAATTTATATTTAGGGCAGATAATTTGATTATATGAGAGAAGATTTAAAAAACCTATATGTAAAATAAGAATTATTACTAGTGAATAATATAAAGATTTTATAGCATTTAAATGCTGAATAAAATGAAATCAATTATTTTACTTAACAATTATAATAATCAACATTTAAATTATTATAAGAAGAAATAAAAACTAATAATAAATAATAATAAGAACCATAAGTTAATGAAGATTATAATAATATATTTCTTACTTGAAAAAAAATAAAAAAAAATACATAAATTATTCTATATATATATATATATATATATTTAATTACATACATATATATTAAAAAAAAAAAAAAAATTAATTTTTTTTTTTTAATTAAAAAAATGAATAAAAAATAAACCTTCAAACCAGACGAAAGAAATTTAGGAGGTCGTAAATTATTAGTTGATCATATGTATAATCACCGTACATCATTAGATAATATAAAATAACGAATAATAATATTTGAGGCAGGAAATAAAACGTCCCCAAGGGTATAATGTACAGGAAATAATATGCTATCTAATACATATTTTAGCAAAAATCGTATAAAAAAGATTGTTGATAATGAAACTCCATATACATATACAATATAAAGATCTAAAAAAAACAGTTAAAATTTTACAGTAGAGGAACATGAGAGAAATCTGAGTTCTTTTCGTAAACATTTAGATGAAATAGGAAATTTAACTTAAAGAAAAAAAAATAAAAACGACCCCTTTATTTATCCACCGAAGTTTTTTTTTAGAAAACAAAGTTAATAGACTAGTAGATCTTAATCAAAAGCAAATGAAAAAGCATAAGATTTATTATCCAATTAAATATAAAATGAATATTGCTTAATAAAAAAAATAAAAATATAAAAATAATTAATAAAATAATAATAATAATAATAATAATAATAATAATAATAATATTAATAATAATGGCTAAAAATTATAGAAGAAATACCACTATTACTTGATTTTAGTAAAGAGAGCCTTAATGCATTAAAAATTCATTTAAAAACTTTAATTTAATAGTTTAGATTAAATAAAAACGAAGATATAGAATATATATAATAAGTTTTTAAACATAAAATATAAATATGGACTAGAATCTTATTTCAAATATTTTAATGAACTTACACATATTAAAAATTTATGATAAAAACACATGTTATAAATATAAATATAAATATAATTATAAATATAAATATAAATATAAATATAAATATATAAATAAATATAAATATTATTATTATTTTCAAAATAAATAAATTATTAATTTATTTATTTAAATAAAAAAAAAGTTACAAAAATAAAAATTAAAACATATTTAATCATAACAAAATAAATTAAAACAAAAAAAAATTATTAAAATAAATATATATTATAAAGAAAAAAAATAAAATAATTTAAAATAAAACATAAAACATAAAAAATATGTCATAAGTCGCCAAAGCTAAATCTTAAGCCAAATCATAAATAAGCTAATAAAATTAATCTAAAGCATCTTAAAATAGTAAAGTAAAAAATACTGTAACGCGTGCCGAAGCAATCTAATAAAGAGAACAATTACGTTAAAAAGTCCTCTCTATATTTATAAAAGATTACGCCAAAAACAATAAAAACCTTCAAGCTGCTATAGAACATGAAGTAGATGATTTTTTCAAAAACTAAAAGGTAACTGAAGCCAACCTTAAGGATTTAAAAGACCGTGTATTGTCTATAATTAACAACAAGCAACCATCTTAAGCTTCCCGAAGTCAATAAGGTGACCCTAGCGAAAAGCATCATCATTAAAACAACTAACAAAGCTATTAAAAACAGTACTAAAACCCTCATCAAGACGAAGTAAGGTCCTAAGTCTCCCATAAACCTTCCTAAGCTGGCCATGATGACAACGTATCTTAGACTTCCTCGAAAGCCCCTCAAAGTGTTTATTACATGGAGGGCGATGAAGACGATGAGTGGGCTACTTTAGTTAAATTCGACTCTGAATTATACAAAAAGGAGCTTGAACTTTAAAAACATCGTGATTAAGAATTCAAGAAAAAGATGAAAAATGAACTAGATAAGTAACTAAACGAAAAAATCAATAGAAAATCAATGGAAAAGCAAGAAGAAAGTGCATATGTATAACTATAAGGACATCAACTTAAGGTATATGATGAAAGGGAAAAAGAAAAAGAACAAGAAAGACATAATAAAATAATGAATGAAAAAAGATAAAGAGACAAGCAAGTTTAGGACGAGAATCAAAGGAAAAAACACGAAAAAAAAAGGGAAAAAGAACTCGATTAAATGCTAGTTCAAAGAATTATTGAAGAAAAAGAAATAGAAGAAAAAGAACTTAAAAGTAAAAAAGAAAAAGAAAGAGCTAGGCTATTATAAATGATGAAAGAAAATGAAGAATATAGACTTAAAAGTTAATAAGAAGTATTATAAGAAAAATAAAATGATGTAGAATTATAAAAAGAATATACAAGATTAACTGAATAAATGGAATAATAAAGGGAAAACGAAAAAAAATAACGAGAAGATAAAATAAAAGCCATAATGAGTGCCTTTGCAGATTCTGTAGTGAAAGATTAAAAAGCAGTAATACGCGAAGAAGATGAAAAAATGATGAAACATATTTTAGATTAAAACGAAAAAGCCAGACTAGAAGAATTAAGGAGATTAGAATAAATAAAACATTAAAAGTAAGAAATGAGAGAATTTTTATCCAAATAAACTGATGAAAAAAAAAGAAAAATATACAAGAAGATGAGATTAATAAAAAATAAGCAGAAATCTGGAAAAAAGATAGAGAAAATTATCTTAGTCATGAATAATAAAAATTTGATTATATTAAAAATGTAAATAAAAAACACCAAGATATTCTAAAATAATAGATAGATGAAAAAATAAAACCAAAAAAAGGAAAAATGAATATCAATGAATTAAAACAAAACAAATAATTATTTGAAGAAATAGCTTAAAAAGACCCTTAAAAGTAATCAATACTTAAAAAAGCTTAACCAGAGGAACTTAACAGAAAGTATTGAATAAAGTAATATATATACTAAAATGTATAATAATATAATTATAAAAAAAAAAAATATAAAAGGAAAAAAAATATCATAAGATTAAGTTTTTTATAAGAAATTATTCTTTTTATTAGAAAAAATAAGTTTTATAAATAAATAAAAATATATATATAAATATATATAATATATATATTTATATTTATATTTATATTTATATTTATTTTAAAATATATTTTTTACTATTTAAAAATTTTATTTTATTAATATAAATTTTAATAAAATCTAAAACTAAAATATAAAATTAAAATAATATATATAAATAAAATATTACTTAGAAATATATTTTTTTTATTTTTTATCAATAATAATATTAAATTAGATACATTTTGTATTATATAAATTTATATAATATTAATCATATTTATACACACAAATTTAAAAAAATCAAATTATAAAATATATTTAAATTTTATTAATTTAAAAATAAAAAAAAATGTTATAATAATAACAAAAAAAATTAAAAAATAGTCTATTTTAATTTAACAATCATTTAATACATCAATATAAAGTCCCATAACTTAAATAAACTCTGAAAAAGTAATATACGATTTTAAGTAATATTTAAATGAGAATTTTAAGAAAAATAAGGCCAATTAACATGTAAATAAGATAATTCACTACCATTTACAACACACATTTCTACCTAGATATGCCGCTCCTTTATTACTTCCTTTTTATTAACAATTACTACACTAGAATTTAAGAATTTTTACTTAAAACAAGACTTAAGCTTTATAATAGACTATAAAATAAATAAATACAGAAATTTAAAACTCTGAAAATTCACCAAAACTAAAAAGTATAGAAGTCTTAAAAATTTATTTAAAAAATCTTTCGGAGAAAAATCTATTTGAATAATTTTTAGAAGTTTTAATATATATATTATTTCGCGAAACCCCCTATTAAATTCCAATTGAATTAAACGAAAAAAAAAGAATCTTTTTCATTATGTGTCTCCTATAATAGCTTTTCTAATTATATTTTATATACATGCAAATGAAAAACCAGTTACTTTAGATGATTTAGTCACTCGTTCAGGTTTAAAGTCATTATTTAAAAACTCTAAAATTTAAGACGACGATTTTTTAGAGGAAAATAAATTTAGTAGTTCTTAAGATGAAAAATACTTTCAATTTTATGATGAAGAATTATAAAGCTAATCTAATAATAAAGAAAATAATCTAAAATTTTAATAAAATCAATAATTTTTAGATATTTGAGAACTTTTTTTTTAAACTAAAAATAATTACTTTTATTAAAAAAAAAAGTTTTGAAAATATTATTATAAATTAATATCTTGTTTTAATATCTTAAAGCTTTTTTCTTAAAAACTAATACATAAATTTATATAAAAAAAATAAATATATACAAATCATTAATTTAAAATATTTATAATAAAAAAAAAAAAAAATATATATATATATATATATATATATATATATTATATATTATATATATTATATATATATATAATTATTTTATTTAATATAATTCTAAAAATATAATATAATTAATATTATTTATATTATTTTTATATTTTATTTTGTATATAAATTAAATAATATTTTTATTAATAAACATAAATTATTTTCAAAACTGTTCTTTTAAAATAAATTAATCTAATAAAAACTAATGAATATTTATTATTAACAATTATAATATATAATATATTAATTTTCTATAATATAAATATAATATATATATATTAATATAAAATCTATTTTATCTGATAATATAAAATAAAATACTATTATTAATAATCTATTTTTTAATTTTAAAAAAATAAATATAATAATATATAATTTTATATTTTTTTTATATTTAATATATATATATATATATATATATATATATATATATATAAATATTTAACAATTTATACAGTATAAATATATCTATTCAATTTTCTTCTTTTAATTTTTATTTTTTTAATTCAATTCTAAAAACAGTCTTATCATCTCCTAAAAGAGTATCACTTTTGACATAAACTTTAGCATTTAAATTAAGCTTTTATTTAAATATAAAAAAATAAAAAAATAAAAAAAATCATACAGTACTTAAAGCTCCCCTTATAACCCCGCAAATAATATTATTATATTAGAGTCCAATTTAATTTTCGGAAATTTCAACAAAATCTATTAATGGATTATCATTTAAAAAAATATTAAATTAAATATCTTTCGAACTATCAGTTTTATAGTCTTCAACTTCTCCTTTTACACCTAAAAACATTTCGAATCCTTCCTAATTATATATAGATATATATATATATATATACATAAATGTATAAATATTTATGTAACTTTGGCTATAGAATTTGCTATATCTTTAGTATCTGTGCATATTTTTTCTTATTTAGCTACAAATTCATCTATTAATCTTAATCCTATATCAAATCCACTTTATATGATATATTTTAACTTATAATATTATAAATAATGTATACAATTTTTCTAATTATTCATTTGCATCTTTAATATTATCAGTATCTTATATTATTTAATTAACAATTAAACCATAAGTAAGTTAAAGAAATTCGCAATTCTTTTTTATTATATATACTAAAAATAATATACATTTTTTACTATTTTTGAGGCTTTTTTTTATATAATTT